TTTAGGTTTATGCGTCTTCTCCCTTTGATTAAGTCCAATCAAATCCTGCAGGATCAGAGGTGCCATGTCATCCTGAATTCCCAGGAGATTAGAGGAGTTAAAGCTGGCTCTTCCAGTGCACATGGCAACCACTCCCCACCTCTGTTTGATGCAACACAGTGATACCCCATGGGTTTATTAAAGACACAAATAGGTGTATTGGGGGTCAAGAGCTATTCATCCAGCCATTACATCAAGAGAACGTCAAGAGAACGTATTAGCGGTACACAGGTCGCCACAGAGAATCTGCAACAACAAATCCAATTTACATTGAACTGCACAATATTCCTGAAAATACTAAATTGGTGTCCACCTTTAAGAGAACTCTGTGGTATAATCTTTGTTGGAGAGTTGCACGTGTTTTATGGCATTTAAGATAATCCCATAGTTGTTTCCTCCTGAAATTTCTTCTTATATTGTACTGAAAATATATATTTTTTTTTGTATTTTTCCATCTGTGAGTAGTTTGCTGTACTGCAATGATGCATAAAAAAAGCACAGTTATTTCAGTGTTGGTGATCTCACATACCTTGTTACATATGAGAAATCACGGGAGGGAACAGAACTACATTTTGTTATACTTCACTGCCTTAATTTAAGCAACTGCATCCATGCACAAATGTCTAAATATGCAGCCTAGTTATTGGAGGAGCAGCTCTTCTGCAAGTCACTGGATGCTGTTGGTATATCGCAACTCTGAAAATCAGACCACTTATTACTTGTAGTAAATTTACTACTGTGTGTACACTTAACTGAAAGAGTAGTTTGAAAACTGAGAATTATTACCTGTAATTAGAGAAAACCTATGCAAACCCTGACCAGTACATTTTCTTGTTATATTAGCAAAATCATCTCTATAGGGTGGGAAAGTAGAAAACAAAACAAATCTTTTATTGCATAGCTCTACAGTTAAGCAGAATAAATGCTTATCTTGTACTGCTCCCAAAAAAAGAAAGATAATTTTTGGATTAATGAATCTAAATGCAACATAGCCACAAGAAAAAGTTACCAGAACTAAAAGTTAGATGTAAGAGGCAGCTAGAAATTAAAAAACAAAATACAGCTATACTGTTAACTGTATTTCAAACCAGTAGCTTATTTTCCACCCCAGTCTTAGTGTTTTGATTTCTAAATCACTATAGCAATTTAGAGAGAAAGCTAGTTTCACTAATTGAAATTAAAGGCTAATTTTACCAGACCATTGTATAGACAGGATACAGATGGCAGTATTTAGAAAGCTGGAGACTGGTGTCTGCACATAGAAATTTAATTGAAAAATGAGTTGATATCAATTGTTTTTATTAGATATCAGCAGTTTACAAATTTGAATTAAGAAATAAAGTTACAGAACGGAATTAGCTTGAGCTCATTCTTGGTTGTGAGGTTTTTTTCTTTAAGCTCATAATCATTTTTATACAGGATGTCATCAGCAATAAATTCTAGACTGTCTAAAACACAGCCCCACTATTTCCTCGTTCAATATTTCATAATTTATCAAAAAACTACAATTGTTCTAAACATTTTTAACAAGTATTTAACTACTCTATTAGGCCCTTTATTTTTTTTTCAATTTGTACAGAATACAGATTTTTGAAAAGCACTTAAGGATTCTATATTGCAATTTTCTGTAACTTTCAAAACTAGGAATAAACAGATTGTTCCCATGACAAGATGAAATCCACTATTCAACATACCATGTGTCTTGTCTTCTCCACACCTCATATCTAAGCATACAATTTTCTAGCAGGAATATTGTTTTAGAACACTAATTCCCCATCATTTTAATGCACATCAGTTTTAGACTGCAAGAGCTTCTACTTCCAGATAAGCACAGGTTTAACTTAATTCTGTATTTTGCTACAGTCTACTAAACACCACCTCAGCATATGCTTAATTTACACTTTCTTCTCCCCAGCTCATAAGACAGTCAGAAGACAAGTTATGTCTGGCAAATAAGGATGTAACTGCACTGAGGTTTCTATTAGGAAGCCTCACTTCCAATGTATACGTTCATCCTTCTTTCTCTTTCCTGCCTCACAGCCAAAACCAGTAACAAAATAAAGCTTCCAACATCTAACATTAAGGTCACTAGGAAATGCAAGACTGTAAAGGCGGGGGGGAAAGCATATGCAATGTAACAAGTTGCTATAAGATTTCTGTTCTGTAAAGATGAAATAGAGGTAAGAAAAGGCTGAGCCAGAGAGCTGCACGAGGAAACAAATATGCTGGAACAAGTAAAAACATGAACAGTCTTAAGGCAACCTTCACTTGAATCAGCAGTGTGATTACTTGTGTATCTGAAGAGAAATCCTTCTTTAGTGTACTTAATTATGTCGATACAAAAGATGTTATGAACCATATCGATCCTAGAAAAGTAAAAAAAACAAACAGAAAGACATGTTTTCCATTGAAAGAAATTAAGTTTTACTTAGAGTTGTAAAATAAATAGGAGCTTAATTCTCACAGACTTAAAGCAAATTAACCAGCGCTTCCAAGAACTGGAGTTTATGGTTACACTCCAGGATAATTAGCCTGATTTTTAAACACCCGAGAGCTCCCACTGACCTCATATAGGAAATGCAAACTAACTGGAGCACAAGCATGCTTTACACTATTGAGACCAGAATGCCTTCATTTTGTGCACAAACATGGATCAAAGGTATTAGTGCCAAATCAATTAAAGAGCCAATACAAGAACTGGGGTTGATGATCGCTGTAGGTCCCTTCCAACTAAACTATTCTATTCTGAGTTATGAACTATTATCACTTTAAAAATAAAGTGACAGCAAATAACTTCCATGACGGAATTTTTGTTTCAATTGTAAGAAAAGAAATAAACTATATAAGGGAAAAGGCAAAAAGATATTCTACGAACATGATATCACCTATAGATTTATTTTTTTAAAGATAAAGATCTATTGTCTATCATGAGCGGTCGACAAAGCTCAAAACCAAATTCATTCTTTTCTCCCTAAAGATGATTCAACAGCAGGATCCACGATACTAAATCCTTACAAAAAGACTTTAACTGATAGTTAATATATTGTCGTTTTTTCACTAACCTGTATAGATGTCATGACCCCATTAGCAAGTACAGAAAGTTTTCCAGCCACTGATTTCACTCCTTGTTTAAACTGAGCTATATCAGGAGCTGAAGGCAAGACATTTGTAATATTGTAGCTTCCTAAAAGGAGAACACACACACACACAAGAGAAGAAAACAGAATTTTGTATTAAAAGCAGCTGGTTTTTCCCCCTGAAGTACAGTATACTGCTAGGAGCACTAAACTTAATTTTTTTTCAGTTGCTCATGATTCCATCCTGAGTGTCATCTTTGTATTCCCAGCTGAGCAATTAATGTTTGGATAATATATGATTTATTGGGCACTTTCAATCTCCTGCAATGTTCTTTGTCTTGTATCCTAAAGGAGGTTGTAGTGAGGTGGGGATTGGGCTCTTCTCCCCGGTAACTAGCGACAGGACGAGAGGAAATGGTCTCAAGTTGCGTCAGGGGAGGTTCAGGCTGGACATTAGAAAGAACTTCTTCACTGTTAGAGTCGTTAGGCATTGGAACAGGCTCCCTAGGGAGGTGGTGGAGTCATCGTCCCTGGAGACGTTCAAAAAACGTCTAGATGTGGCACTTCAAGACATGGTTTAGTGGACAGGGTGGCATCAGGTGTACGGTTGGACTTGATGATCTTTGAGGTCTCTTCCAACCATAATGATTCTATGATTCTATGATTCTATGATTCTAAACAGCTGTTATTACCTCGTGATTTAAAGATGAATGGACTTCAGTGGTGGCCAAAGTGATGAACTCTATTGGTGTGCATGCATAGGTATGCTTTGTATGCTGTATATGCACACATATTTTGCATTACTACATTTGAGGCTTGAAAAATTCTATAGAAATTAAAGGTAAGTAAGTACGTTTTAAAACTCCAAAACAAAACTGGGAATCCAGCCTTCCTTAAAGCCAATATAGTTTGGCCAGTGTTAGCTCTACTGCTATTATGAAAAGTATAGGCCTAAAGACAACAGAAATCAAAGATGTTTCAAAACTAATGGCATGATAAGTATTAACATGCTAACAATTACAATCACCGACTCATTTGCAAAAAGAATTACTGGCATGTCTTACTATTAAACACCTGATGCTGTATAAATGGCACAAATGGCTGTAAACCAGCATCACAGAACTATGATCTCAGGAATAAATGGGGCTCCTGAGAGGAAGCATCCCAAACCAGACCATTTTCAAAACAGAGACTGCAATCTGTAGCCTTAATTTAGACATGTAGCCAACTGATAGTCATGACCAGTCAGGACACAGCTGGTAACTGGTGAGCGGTTACTGAACCTCCGACAAGCTCACCCAGCCACAGACTCCGCAACCCGCAGAGCTCTCACTCCTTTGGACAGCAGCTCCGTACAGGACGTTGCTACACGCCGGCAGCCCTTTCTCCTCTGTTTTTTCTTTTTGAACAGGGGTGGAGGAAGAAGAGAGAGAACCTGCAGCTCCTCTTTTCATGGGAAATTAAAGGCACCTGCCTCATTAGCAGGCCGAGAAAGACATTACTGTAGATAATTTGATTTACCTAAGCTAAGTGGCTGGTTCGTAGTGGCAGATGCATAGTCACATTCAGAGAACTTCCCACTCCATTTATTAAAGCTGGCTAGTAGCTGTTTCTACAATGCATGAGCATGCTTGTTTATAGGCCATTTTTAAAAATTTGCTATCACTGAGATAGCCCTGTTTCCAAACTGTAATTTTAACTTCCTTACGATCTGTTCCACTTATCAAATGCCTCAGCATTTTTGCTATTAAAGTCAGAGTCATGGAAATAAAATTTGCAGATATAAATAACCTGAGAAAATCTCTAACCACTTCTCAGCCACATGAATTTTCTCACGTTTTTCTGGTTACGTATGGTTGTCTGAAAAACTTTGTGCAAATGAGACAGGAAAGCAACTCCTTTTCTTGTGACTTCCTTCAAAATCAGCACCTACAAGTCAGCTATCTGACATGCCATCTTTCATAAGCAACAGGTCTGAAATAACATAAAGTAAAAGCGTTTTCTTGCAGCCCACTCTTTTTGGTAAATAGCTCCTACAGCATCCTGTACAAAAGCAAGCATCCCAAAACTGTTCTACCCTCAAATCTCAGCAGTGCTCATAAAAACAACTTTAGATTCAGAAGACATTTTATTCTGGCAAGGACCCCAGAATTACAGCAGTGTTTTTGTTGCCAGCCTCCGGTCTCCTGATTACCTTTATTTTATGGAACTAATGATAGCTTTGGCATTAATTCAACACCAGAGAAGCTATCGGTGCAGTAAAATTTCTGCAAGAAGGGCCACTATCAAAAAATAGTCTTTGGGGTGGGAGGTGTAACAGAAAGACATGCAGGAAAGGAAGATTCTGTAGATTCAATATAATGTGAATTTATAATATACAAACTAATAATTCCTGGTGTATTTTTTCCTCACTATTATTTTACAGCAGTTAAAAACCCACAAAATTTAGCAGAAGTTTAGTCTTTGTAATATAACTTTAAAATTACTGTTAGGTTACATGCCAGTCACAGAGAGGTAGGCAGGTAGGTATTTTTCATCCCACTATTAGGAATCTCTGCGTTCCCCCCCAAGCCCCAAGAACCTTTCCAAGTGCTCTGTGATGAATAATCGTGTGTGCACAATTCATGTACACACAGTAAATCTTATATAATTGCCTGTAAGTACCCTTATTCAGAATACGGTGAGAATTTTATCACATGTATATGTATGTGTACACAGAAAGGCACACTCATATCTATATATATACACACATACACACACAGATACATATGTATCATATCACACAATTTGCCCCATCTTTAACTTGTATTTACCTTTTCCTACTTCATTCTCTTATTCCTTACTGTGTAAAAGCCCCACACATACTACATAAATTACACAGAGGAAAAATCAATTAATTCCATATAAAATAATGTATATGCAAGAAAATTAAAAGAAAAAAGACAAAGAAAGTTCTAGTCAACAATAGATAGCAAAATAATGTGTTATCACAATTCCATGTATTACTGAAAATGCAGTTTACAAATTCAGAAATACCATTTCTCTTTGCTTATGTTCCCCACATCTTTTTTAAGCACAAGTATGAAATCATGCTGCAAATACTCTTTCAAGTGGCTAAAGCACGTTACTGCGATTTCTGCTTTATGTCTCCTCCCCTCAATTTTTTTTTTGTTTGGTTGGTTTTTTACATTTCAAATGACTAAAATCCAGTTTAAGTAACTGGTAAGAGGAGTTATTTCTCTACTAGCCAGTGTATTCAAAACTTGCTTTCAGGGGATCAAAACTGAACAGTCACATGGGGTTTTTTTCCCCTCCAGTTTTTCCAAAGTAAAATCAGATGCTGCATACTGTTTGTTTTTCCAGCCTATTTATATAATTACTCATAGATTCCAAGTTCTTCAATAATTGTGGTTTTTTTTTCAATTTCTTCACAAGTTAAGGAATGAAATCCAACTGATCAAGTCAATAAAACATTCCAGTATTTCCTGCCTTTTCTATTTCACATTATTTCATGATCCAGAAAGGGTGTTGGAAAGAAAACGTAAGATTTTCAACAGCCTAAGGGGCTACTTTTCAGTCAATCTAATACTTCCTTTCTAAATTGATGAACTATACTCTCCGATGTAAGGTGTTCCAACAAATCTTTTAAACACACAAACCAATTGAAAGATTTCCTTAATAATTTGGCAAGACCAGTGTTAGAAGCAGACATCCTGATGAATGGATACGCCATGCAACAGATTACATGCAGATTTCAAGGCCACTAACATTTTATTAAAGATTCTTCTGAGATTCAATATTATTATGACAGCTATTTTCACATATATAAATATTTAAGTTACTTACAGTAACTTATCAAAAAAACTACCTGATAGTCAATTTAAGTGTTACCTCGTTTGTTTTTATAACAAAATATTAGTTTTCCTTCGATAGAATCATAGAATCATAATGGTTGGAAGACACCTCAAAGATCATCAAGTCCAACCGTATATCTGATGCCACCATGGCTGCTAAACCACGTCTTGAATTTGATAAAAATTATTTACAATAAAGTTAGTCTATTATTTGCAACAAGTCACATAAAAACCAGTATAAAATACTGAACTTACTGAACTGAAAATAGAGAACGTGAAATTTAAGAAATTAAATTTATTTTTTTTTTTTAAATAATGACTATACCTGTTATGCTTGTTTGACCTATTAGCAATACTAATGCATACTACACTTTGCACACAGAATACAGCGACAGTTAGCTGGTAGTATAACTAGAAGCAGAGTACAAGAGCATAGTCACTGCATGATACAGTTTCTCACTCTGTTCATTATGTACCTGTTGGTTGTTTTTTCTGATCTTCAAACAAGTCAGCTGAACTTATAGCTGAGCTTCCAGAGAGTCTTTCTAGTCGAGCCCTTGCTTCATACTAGAAAATAATTGAGAAGAAAAAAGTATTGTAACAGTATGCTGTCATCTTTCAAGGTCATGTCAGATAATTACTGAGATTATAGATACGGTTTTAGAACATACAAATCCAGCTGAAGTTGACCATTCTGAAAGTCGTTCCCATTTCACAGTTTTCACGACTTATACGGTGCGAGTTTGTCATCATCTCAACTTATTTCTGAGTTGATCAGAGTGACATTTACCATTGCAACACCAAGAGGCCTACTCACTGTTACCTGTCCTAAAATTGCTGAAAAACTATGCAACCATTGAAAACAACAACTAAAAAATGTGAAATGGAGTGGTTGGGTAGGATAAGGAAAAAGGACTGCAGTTAGCCTCATGTTAACCCTTCAAATCATACGATGCTTTTAATTCAACTTTTTCTGAGTTCCCTGAGAATGGTAATACATTGGTTATATTTTTTAACATTACTTTTTACATTGTTAATTTTTCATTAAAAATAGTTTTTAAAATGATCCCTCACCTCCAAAATGCTACATAATATTAATCTGTTTTTTATTTCTAGGCTGATTCAATTACATGTCATTTGTTGAACAATTTATGTGCCTAGTTAGCCTAACAATAGTAATAATGTTTCCATGTATTAAATACAGAGGGGACAGCTGTTTTAACAACGGTTTGTTGGCATCGCTTTGGGTATTTAGAACAAATGAAGTAAGCCTTCACCCAGCTAATGAAATTCTAAACTATCAGAGTTACCAGAAACTTGTACATTTCTATCAAACAAATATTCAAGTGGACATAATTCTATAAGCTTACTAATTCTACCAATTTTAACTATTTATTGCCTTCTCTTTATACAAATGTTTATAGTCAAAGAATATTTTAACATTCAAAAATATTTATCACTGCTTTCTACTTACATCAGCGTGATCTTGCCTTCCAAAATACATGTCTGATGAAATTGCTTTTACATTGCCAAATTTTTTTTGTGCCTCATCTGTGTTTAACGATGGTTCATATTCAGGCTTACGACGAGACGCAGGCCTAAAGGAAAACCAAACTGCATTAGTGAGTATAATTTTTATTTACATCATGGCAGAATGCCATAAATCAAACAAGAAGCACTACCATCTTTGCTCTGTGAAGCCTGAAAGTATCATAGTGATTTTTTTATTTTTTTTTTTAAATAAAAATTAAATCAGTATCAATCCAGGACAAAGAAATTCAGATAACTGAGTTGATATAGCAGCAAATAAAATTTCAGTGACAGTTTTACAGGACGATGAACATATAGTATTTCTAATTCATTCATCTTGTATCTTTATTTTCAGAGATCATTTAAAAAGCAAGCTAAGTTATGTCAACAAGGACAAAATATTTCTACAAAACCTCAAAAAACCCAAAACACAATGGCAGTGAAATTCAGATTCAAACGTAACAACACAAAAAGGTTCAACATCCTTTGAACTCTCACTGCCTTCCACCTCAAACATACATATGCAAAACTTGCCTCTTCTTTTTTTTTTTAAAGTAAATGTACTCAAATGAGGAAGTAATAGCATTATGGAAATGAACACCTATTTTGTGTAATATGCATCACTGGTCCACTCTTTAGGAAACAACAGAACATGCTTATGTTAAAAAAAATAGTTGTACTTCTGTGCACAAACTGCACTTTACGGGTAAATGAAAAATACAGTTTTAGGCAAGAAGAACAGAAGCAGAAAACACCAACCAAGAATGCAAAATCCCCAAAATCCCACATTCTTACATTTTCCACTTGATTACAAAGATAAAAACACAGTTGTCAAAGAAGAAATACATTCATTTTTTTATCATCACAACAATTAGACCTGTTGTTTTCAAGTATCTGCAATACCTTCATCCTAAAAGCTGAGTACCCTACCGTTTCATTCATTTGGTAACTGGGTTTTCTTCGGTTCATTAGGCAATAAACAAAGCAAGTAAAGCAAGTATGCTCTCAGAACAGTACAAATATTTGAGTTTCTCTCCACATCTTTTGTCTACTTTTTGTGCTGAAACACTTTAGAAATTACCTCCAGTACATATACTGTACAGCACTGAGCAAAACAGAGAAGTGCTTAAAATGTAAACAGGAAATTCAGTTTACAAAAGAAATACAGCCAGGGAGTCCCTTAATTGCTGATGACAGTTATGGCCAAATTCTCCTTCTAGACTGAAAAAAATCCCACTACTATGGCCAGGACTCAAATCATATTAACAAGCTTGGGCTTTCTGTACAGAAGTCAGTTAGTTTTTCTTGGTATACCTGTCTGAAAATCCTGTACTTTTTGAAGTTAACATTATATCAACATCTCTACTATTATTTTCTTTCTTCCAAAAGGAATCTGAATTGTCATCCCATTTAGAGAAAGTGCTGCTCCTCAAATCTGAAGAATCATAGTATCTAAAATAAAAGAAGAAAAAAAAAAGTATTGAAAATGTGGGAACTTTATATTGTTAGATAAATATGGCTACACTAATTGTTCACTAGCAATAAGTTTTCAGCACAATGATAGTTGTCAGTGAATAATCTTGATTTTATAATATTGGTTAGAAGCTTTGTATAGTTGAATCCAATGGATTTTTTGTTTTTTACACATATATTTAACTGACTGAAAAGTTCGACCTTTCTTTAGGCTGGATATGGTCACAAATATGCAGTGGACTGCCTGAAAGATATGGTCCCACCAAAACCAGCAAAGTTCTCATTACTTCAAAGCATTACATCTTCTTTAGTGTCAGGCAAAGCATTGGGAAGAACATTGTCAAGACACCCGGCTGGTTTAAGAGCAACACTAAGAAAACTTCAGGATGGACCCTGCGAGCAAGGCACCATGACGACCCTACAAGGTAGGCTCCTCATAAAGGCCTGGTGCTCTTCACGCTCCATGCTAAGACAGCAGCTGTGAAAAAAGCTACCATAACTTTCAAGGCACTTTGAACACTCCAGAGATCCAAGAGCACCTAACCAACCCATGGCATCCAGTTGGGCTGTGGTTCCACAGGGGGCAAAGGTTTCTAACTAAAGGGCTGATAGTGGCTAATCTCACAGTTCCATACGGGTCAATCTGTAAGCCATGCAAACAGAGAATCTGCTCCCATTTTCTGAGGCATCAACAAACACAGTTCAGAACAGTAAGGAAAGCCCTTGTCTCTGGTTCTGTATTTTTTTAAAACATGAATATTAAGTACCTCTGAGTTTTGTAACATGTTTTATTACAACAATGCTAAATAACATTACTTCTTAAAAGTGAGTCTTAATTTAGTAAGATAATCTTCTCTTGCATATCAAAACTGCAAGGAAAACACAAACAGAAGGAAAAGGAAAAAAAAATGAAGCACGTTTGTCAGTTTTGGTGGCACGTTATCTTGACCTTTTCCTCTTTGATTATCTACACATATCTAAATATATATGGAAAATACTTGGGGGAGGGAAAATTAAAATGCCAAAGATTAAGAATTTCCCTTTGTGGTTAAATAAACTTTCTTAAAGTTTGGATATGACCAGGATAGGGAGTGAGATGATCAAAATGACAGAAGGCTAGCAGAATGGAATCATTCAGTAGAACAAGCACAGGATATTAAAGTCTGCATCTGTATTTTGTGTAAAGTGTTCCTTAAAAAAAAAATATGTTCTCCATATTTGTGTTATGAGTAGTCAGAACAATTGTTTTTGCAGTTTATGAGAAATGTGACAACTTCAGCAGCAAAGTCTCCCACCACTGCACGGGATAAATAGCAGCGACTGATCTGGAATGAGCTCTTACAAGAAGCAGGAGTCTCTCCCCTTCTCTCCTGACAAACAAAAAGAAGCCATAGCAATCTTTATAAATTCCATATGGATGTATAATAACAAACAAGGTGTTTATGTACATGTAAAGCTATCCGATCTCACAATGGCCATCAAAACCACAGGATGGGGCAGCGGCTGATTTGATGGGGCAAAGCTGATTTGAATAAGTGACTTATTTTCTCCATTCTTCCTCCTCAGATTTTCATAACTTTGCAAAATACTTTTTCAGTATTCTGGGGCAGGGCGGGGGCGAGGGCAGAGGGAGAAAAAAATCCTGCATTTAATAGAAAATAAACTTTTACATTGCTATGTAATAAAGATTTTATTAATTGTAGCAAAAAGAAAAAACAAAATCCAAGGATTTTGAGAGGCTTCAATTATATATCTAAACCTTGAGACATTTAGCTTGCTTAACTTACAGATAGTTATCAGCACTCTAATATCCAGCATGGTTATTTTGCTTTATGGGTATATATTAAGATAATATGAAAATTACTTTACCTCCATTTCAAAGTCACAGCTTAGAATAAAGGATAACCACCACCTTACAAACCTTACCAAGCCCAACAGTCTGACTTTACACTTTCTTTAAGGAGAATAAATTTGTATACCAACTCCAATTAGATTCTACTATTGCTATAACTAGAAGAACAAGAGCTGGGAACAGCTAGGTTACAATTTATCTTCTAATTATTGAGCATTAAAAAGCGTCTTCCATAATTTACCTTTTGCCTGCTAGTAGGCTTATGAATAATTTGAGAGCAGTAACAGTTCTTTTCAAGGAACAAATAGGGAAGCACCAAAATGATATGTTATATTTTACAAGACTGCTGCCAGTTTACTTGGTACCACGCTTGCATTTCTGCCCCTAGTGATTACACTACAAAGTAGTGACACAAAAGCCTTTGTGTTTTTATTTGCCTGTCTACAAGCAATTAGGTACAATTTTTCATGTTTCTGTGGCACCAATCCAATAAAGGCAGTTTATAAAAGCAACACCTGTTTCTATCTATCAGCCCAGAAACAGGTGTTTCATTGCAATTAGTGCCCACAGGACTAATTATTTTTCTTCTCCCTCCCAACAGCAGTATTTTATAGTTCGCATTGCATTCATACTCTGATCAAAAATTCATCAATTTTTTTTGCTTATAATGCTTATATGCTTATATATCTTCAAATATATGCTTATATATGTTCAAATACATAAAAGTCTATCAAATAAGACTGTAGACATCTACACAATACATCCAACACACAATACACCCAAAAAATTTAGGTTTTGCATTTGGCATGTGTCCAGTTAAAAGACTGCTGCAACTTTAGTATATCTAGTATCAGACTTTGATACTTGTTTTATTTTAAATTGAAAGTTGAAGATAAAATTACAAGAAAGAACAAAAAAAGAGAATGAACACAAGTCATTCTGACAAAAAATTCACTGGGTTAAGCAAATAAAAGCTTATATGGCAACTGTCTGTGCAAGTAAGAGATTAGACCTTGAACAAGACAAAATCTGTAAACACGTAATTCAGACTACCTTCTCCTCAGAAAAAGTAACTCCTCTTCTTTATAAATACATCTCCCATCGAGGTAAGGCCAACTATTTCACAAGTTTTCTGATTCAGATGTCCCCTGAAAATATGCTAAGTGTGTAGACATGTCCAATTGTCTTCTGTTTTGATCTTTAGTTCCAAATATGTTGAGTATATTTCAATATGTAACTGGCATATGCTTCTACTGCCACTCAAAATAAAAAGCTTACACATTACCTTGAACTAGAAGAGAAATATGAGTCTTCTACATCATCAGCGTACTTTTTCTTCGGCTTTGCAATTGCAGGTGTTTCCTGCTCTATTGTTTGCATATCTGAGGTGACTGAGTGAGAAACACCACTGGGGACAGGAAGAAAATAAGTATGTAAAGAGATGACAAAGCTCACAGCCTAAAAAAAGAAAAGAAATAAAAACCCAAATCTAGTTTCTGAAGCTTGCTGATAAAGCCCAAGCTACACAAACATTTAAGAAGAAAGGAGGAATTAAAGAAAAAAAGCCCTGGAAAACTCAGCTGTAGTTCTCTGAAGTAGTGACAGGACTTCTGAACACACAGACCATTCCAACAGCTGGAAAACACAGCAATGTGATGTTTCCAGAGTTTTGGTTTATAAAAGACATACTGTACTTAGGCTGGTACTGTTCACTGGAAACATCCTGACTACCTTCCTCACAGTCAGCTAACGGAGGCAAACACCCGACAGACATCCTACAATTGTAGGTTAACACCTGTCTGGCAGGTCAGAACTTAAATCTATCAGAAGCAATCCTATCCCTTCCCTCTGACAAGTACTAGATTCTTTGATGATATTGTTTAAGTTTCCATAATATACTTTAGTATATTTTTTCATTTCCTAAGTAAAATGAAGGATAACTGCAGAAAGCCACAGAGTATTTTAAATACAGTTTATAAAACTTCACATACCTTCTGTTGCTGCCAAATCCCATGCCAAGTCTCTCCAGTTCATTTTTCTTCTTACCAGACAGATTTAACTTTTCTTCTTTTGTTTTAATATCAAGATCTCTGTAGGCCATCCGTAAAGATGATACACTAAAACAAAACATACAGTTAACATATAACTGTAAAATGCTACACTGAACACCCAACCCAATAATATTGGTAGAAAATTAACAATCTATATTGTAGCACTGTATATTGTATGTTCTGTGTTTACTGAAAATATTCATTATTAATTGAACGAAATAATTATAAATTCCAACTGTAAGGATGGGAGAAAGCCAGTAGAGAAGGCTGTCTAAACAGTACCCCAGTCTGTGTATGAGCAGGTAGTCTTTTTCAAAACGAATGTGAAACATGCTACTGCTAAAGTTCAGGACACAGTTCTGCATCACCATTAAGTCAACCTGAAAGTGTCTTTTTTTCCACAGTCCTAATTCTATGTGATACCAAATAATTGTCAAAATTATCCAACCCTGACATACTACAGCACTGTGACATTCATGATAAGATACTAGTAACATTTTCCCCTAATGCCCAGCTTGGCCCTGCTACGTCTCCCTCCTTTCACCCCTTCATGCTCCCAGTGGTTTTAACCCTTGCTATACAGCCACCCTCGAGACAAGTGCTAGGGGTAGACCACACTTCTTTATTGATGCTGCCCTTCCCTGTGCCCAAAAAGGTGTCTCAGAAGAGGGGAGGAGAGTGTCTTTGTACTCCCAAAATGGAATATATTCTCTATTACGAAAACTTTGAAGCATCAAAAACTTAGAATTTTCCGCACAGCTGGCAACATATTTTGTCATCTGAAACATCCTCACAGTTCAGATATAGTAGGCTGTGTTTCTGAGATGCCATGAACCTTCCTATACCTCAAAACAATCTTAACGATTTTCCAGTAATACCAGTGTATCAGAGACAGAGGTTTTTGATCTTGATTCTAGAATTGTAGAAACACTGCTTAAATTTAATTTGTTAGGTTAAAAGGGATACAAATAGTAATTTTAATGAGCAATGCAGCATTATTTTAATTCATAAGTTCTGAATGGCATAAAGTACAAATGAACACTACCAGAAGAAAGGTAAATGAAATTTAGGATACTGCTATCAGGCATCCTGCTGCAAGTAGGAAGGAAGTAATTAAGTCTGAAAATCCTTGTGACTTGCTATCCATTTTGTGCAGAAGCAGAAATGAAAAGAAAATAAGTTTTTGACGAAGGAGGATTTTCTTTCAGTGTGTCTCCTAACTATTCAATTACTGAAAAAGGCTCTTCCTGGCTTGATTTTTTTCTCGTCCCATGCATACTGACTTAACTTTAACCAAGAGTACAAGATGCCCCTACCAAAATCCATGCCCTGCTGGTTACTGCATCTCCTGCAAGGCAGGAGCTGGGTGGCTGAACCTGTTCGAATGAAAAGGGCACGGCATCTGGTCTTCTTCCTTCATGGACAAGGGATGGAGGTACCAGCCTGCTATAAGGAACGGGACATCACTCCTCCACTGATGAGGCATTTCAAAAAAGAGGAGAGCCATCTCAGTCTTGTGATAATCAGGTAACCTTTGATTGGGGTTTTCAGAGGACTTGGAGACAGAACTAAAAAATAACTACATCTTACGTTCAGATCCTTATAACAATAAAAGTCAGATGCAAGCCAGGATGGATCTGTGGAATGATTTCTGAAACCAATAAAATCAGGAAAATCTATCTTCAAAGCACAGAGTATGTTCAGGGACATTTTAAATCAATTCTTACTGTCTAGGACCAACTGTTACACAGAAAATTGAAAATGTTCTCTAAAATTCAACTTGAAACTGCTACTGATAAAATCTACCCAGCACGTTAAGTAGAAAGATTAGCAGCCCATCTTATGAAATCTGGTTTATGAACATCAAAAATCTTATTTGCTGTTGATTAAACAAATAGGGATACTGATCAATTTTTTTTTTTTTTAAAGTAACTCCAGTTATCTATTCTCTTATCAGTGCACAGCAGAAAATAAAGAAACTGTGTACCGCTTATAAAATCACATTTTAAGTTTTAAGTCTCAGGACTCTTTCTCCTTCTAAGTACTAGACTACAAAAACATCATTTCCATTCCTGTCATGTAACAAAACCACACTGAATTAATTTACTAAAGCTCATTACTCAGGCTTTTAAAGTTAAAACTGCCACACAAATCAGTTGGAAGCAAATGCAATTTTGAAAGTACTCACCCTTCTTTAATTTTGGTATATACTGCCATCTACAGTTAAAAATCCAAAAAGTTAATCTCAAGGGAAACACAGTTATCTTGCCTCTACTGGGATCGGATCCATAAATGGAAATGTACGTGCACCCCTCATGTTTGCAGACATTTTTAGAGGGTTCTGGCCATTGCAGAAAGGTTGCAGTCACCTGATACTAAAGGTTGCCATGGATCTATAGAGATTTATAGATTTCTGACATAAAAACCGAATTGCTACTTGGGACGTTCTTCCTCTTCTTCATATATCATTAAAGATGGTATCATTAAAGAAAAATAATAAATAATAACAAACATTCATTTCTCTTGTTATTTAGTAGTCCATTCCTTCAAGTCACTCTATGGTAGTTTTTGGCAATCACTGAGAAGCATGGCTTCGTGGTAAAAATACTCCAGGAAAATTGAATGATCCCCTTGTGATTAATATTCATGATGCACACAAAACATCCATTTCTGCAGAGGCTACATAAAAGTGAGCAAAAGGAATAGGGAGGAGATTACAGACCAAAGAGTTCGGTACCATGAGCTCCAAGTATTATGTCTGTAATTACGTAATAATTCAGATAATTTCTCAATAGGTTATAGAAATGATGCATCTTAGCACTTAAGAGAGGATGTTAATCTTTACAACAGTAAAAGTGTACACTAACCAACTCTTTAATAGTCTAATTTTGATGACAACTAATAAAATGTTAAAAACCAAAAACACATAGCAGAGAAATGCAGTGGGAGGAACCAGGAAGAGCACTATCTGAGATTTAGGTCTGAGTATTTATTAAGATGCACTAACAGATTCAAGACCTCAGACAAAAATATTCAAAGGGTTTTGGTGACAATGAATGCAGTTCCAGTACAAAACAGCTAAAACTTAAGCAGGCAATTCTAGCCATACTTAAACTACCCCCTACCTTCAGCATAGAAACTCTTACCCAATAAGTACAAATAAAGCTGAATATTTGTATGTTCCCTATGCTCTTAGACAGACTGTTTTAAACAGTATTCAGTTCACTACACTGAAACAAAATAAACTAGGTGTCCTGGTTTCGGCTGGGATAGAGTTAATTTTCTTCCTAGCAGCTGGTACAGTGCTGTGCTTTGGATTTAGTATGAGAATAGTGTTGATAACACACTGTTTTAGTTGTTGCTAAGTAGTGCTTACTCTAGGTCAAAGACTTTTCAGTTTCCCCATGCTCTGCCAGAGAGGAGGTGCACAAGACGCGGGGAGGGAGCATAACCAGGATAGCTGACCTGAGCCAGTCAAAGGGATATTCCATACCACAGGACGTC